GGCTGTCCGCTCCCCGCCTGCCTCTGCCTCGAGCGACGGGACAGCGGAATGAAAATCTTTGTCATTGCTGGCTACCGCTGCCGCCCGACTTTGGGCTCTCTTGCTCCCTCTTCGATTGCTTCGGAGGGGGCGAGGGGTCCGTGCCAGGCAGGGGTGCTGCCACTGCCGACCCCACTCTCTGGTCGCGCTGCGCCGGGCATCCTCCCTGGGAAGCGGCGCGAAGCCACTGGGCCAGTCCCTGAGCGGGTCCTGCCAATGCAAGCGTGATGTGTGCCGGGCTGGGGGGTGGAGAGAGGCTCCCCCTCCCGCCTTAAAGCTTCACTTAGCCAGAAATGAACATGTACCCTTTCAAAAGAGCTTCTTCCCTGTTTCCAATCGCCCCACCGCACCGGGATCTCCCTCAGCCTCACCCGGAGCTCCCTCTGCCCCCGCCGCCCAGCCTGGCTCCCTTCCCCGGCCCCTTACCCCGGCTCGGAGCCTAGATTGTCCCAGCATGAGTGACATTGGCTTTCCTAATGTAATGACTTATGAAAGATATAATCATGTGTTAAATTGAATCCTCCGCTTAACTGTTAATGGTGTGCTCTGGGCACATTTACGTATTAGATGCTATGGTAACTAATTACCACTAGAAGAAGGGATAATACACTTTCCAGACTTTGACAAATAATTATGAGTGTTCACATCCCTGCTAGCAGCAGTTGCAGCGGATCTGCTGGAATGAGTAAGTGAATAAATGAATGGGTAAGTGAACTTGTGTGCATGGAGGGGACTAGATAATGAATAGTGGTCAAGTGAGTTTTCTTATTAAAACCTTTAATGAAAATGTGATTTAGGGTGGAAGGGGGAAAAAAGTGCGACGCTGCCTCTAAACGTAATTAAATCGCGTAATATAAACATCAGAAACATAAATAAGTTTGCTTTTAATTAAAACTCAGTAGTCAAAGTAAATTATCCACTCGCTCGGAAACTTCTTTAAAGCAATTAACACTTTTTTTTTTTTTTTTTTTTTTTTTTTTTTTTTTTTTTTTATGGTGCTGGTGGCGGAGGGAGGCTGTTGGGGGGTAAAACAAACGAGCCGGGACTCCCGACTATTTCCAGGATCATTTGTAACTGTGATCGCACCGTCCCTGCCCACAGGCCGGACTGATCCTGAGGCTCTGAGCAATGGGCGAAGCTCCTTGTCGGAGCGGGACAAAAGTTTGGGCAAGTCGCTCTGGGCCCCTGCGCGGGTTCGCTGATGCCCGTGGGGCCCGATCCCGCCTGGGAGAGCTCCGGCACCAGCGGAGCCCACGGAGGGCGCAGGGCAGGCTCTCCCTGAAGCGCTGTGCCCGGCTCAGGCCGGCGCCGCAGGGGTTAAGCCGACTGTGCCCGCTCCGCGCTGCCATCCCGCCGGAGCCGGAGCCGGAGCGGGCACGGCTGCCCCGGCCCCCAGCCCCACGCGGGGGCTCCTCGCAGCCCTCCACGCCGCAGAGAGGACATCTGCTAAATGAGCACAGGGCTGCAGCCAGCACCGTCTACCCCCGGTCACTCATCAGCTCGGTGTCACCCAGCCCGCCCACACCCGCCCCCGAAGCGCTCCGGAGGGGAATCTGGTCTGGTTCGGCTCGTTCTCCAGCCTCGGGAAGGGTTAAATCCTTCCCCAAGCCCCTAGTTGCCCTTGTCCTCTCAACCTGATTCAGAGACGTGTAATAAAATAGGAAGCAAATTTATGGTCTGTTTCAAGCACTTTACTGCTGTATTTTTAAATTCATATATGCACATATAAGAACTATGATCTGTGAATAATTTGAAATGCTATAGGAAAATGATGTATTTTAGATCAAACATAACCGTTTTCTTACGTAATTGTCTCGGATTAAAATAAAAAAATAAAGATACATTTCGAAGAGAGACAAAGCTGAAAATCTAATGACAGCCATAAACTGCTAGACAGCCATAAATTAACGTCTTCATCAAACACTGAAGGGATCAGTGCTTGTCTAAATCAACAATTATTTCTTCCGAGAAGTTGCAGAACAGATTGCCCCTTTAATACTATTTTTAAATCTTCATAATTGAGGATTAGGGAAAAACAATCGCCTTTCCAGAGTAAACCTCCTCTCCACCAGCCGAAGCCATCCAAACTCACCGAACACCCAGACTGCTTCCCTGGGAACCTCCTCGGGGGTCCCGTCCCCTTGACCCACTGCAGCATCCCTGGGAGCTCGTGTTAGGAAAGGGCATGCAGGAGTCTTTCCTCACCCCCCTCTCCCCTGATTTTTGTCGCAGGCCGGGGGAGGTGGGAGCGCCGGGAGCACAAGCCGGCGGCGGGAGCCCGGCGGGCAGCGGGCGGGGATGCGGGGATGCAGGGATGCGGGAATGCGGGTCCCGCCGCCGCCGCGGGCCGGGGGCATCCCGGAGCGGCAGCATCCCCCGGTGCTTCCACCAGCAGCTCAACTAACGCTCATCCGCTTTCCAGGTTCAAAGCTTTAGCGAGGCGGCACTTCTCCCAGCTGCAGCCACCTGCGAAGCCGGTTTTGCAAGAGGCTGCTGTAAAGAATTCATTTTTTAAAGGCAACTGAAAGATACGTTGTGAAGAGAGGCGATTCACTGGCTCGCAAGATGGAAATTAGACAGGGAGAGACTTGCTGCCTGTAGGAGATTAGCGAGCGACTAAACTGTTTGGAAGAAAGAGGTAGTTGGAAAGATGAGCTGATGGGGAAGAAGTCGCTGTCAAAAGTCATCACAGGGTGTTTGCCTACTGACTTTTACTCTCCCTGTAGCCAGAACTTAGACTTTTATTCAACTTTTCTGTACTCATAGCTGCTGGTTTTGGGGAAAAGAAAAATAAACCGACACATTAGTGTCAAAATGGGTTTAACAAATCTTTGAAGATAGAAAGAATCCTGCAAGGGTTCTAGCCAGAACAGCTGAAGCTTAGGCTACTTTTGATTATTTATTTTGGTGTGAATAGTTTTGAAGACGAGCACATTTCTACTATTCTGAATGATGTACTCATACAACCTCAGTAAATGAGATCCCAGGAAAGCCTGATGCAGAGAATAAACACAGAACTGGTTTATATGAGGATCAACACCCCACCAGAGCTTCCTTGCTTTCACTTTAAAATGAAACATTGTTTACTTTTTAAATATGCTATTATATATATTTATTTATTTATAGCTAATTATAAACATAGACAATAACTTAAGGATCATGATACTTTCATAAACATACCTTTGAGGGGTGTTTTTGTAATGAGATAATTTTTCTGCTATGTAGTAGGTATGGAGACATGACTAGCCAGAGTACATAGGCTGGTTTAGGTAGTAGACAGGAAAATACTTCACTTTCTATGGTCTGGCAGCTAGAATAGTTCTATTCATATGAGTTAAGCATATGCATAATTTGATACCTTGAACAGTTTTAAAATACAGTGCTATACAAGAAACATCAAATAAAATACTAGATAAAATACAGTGCTAGGGGATCTCACAAACTCCTTCCTTTCGAGCTATCTTTCAGACCATTATGGAAAGCTCACTCAGAAATGTGCCCTTTAAGAAATCTCAAACAATGTCACTTTTTAATGTATAAATTTCAATAACTTCTAATGTAGCCTGGAGAATTAGAACAATTGCACAGCTACACACACATTTACCAAACTCAGAAAATGCTGCAGGTCTGTCTTCTCTAGGAAGCATCTTCAGTAACCCTTGCAGACATACCTGACAAGTATTTCTGCATGAAGGAATGGAGAAACACCGATGTCTTTAGGGTACAGCCTTCCTATTAAATACCTGGAGAACTCAGCAGCTACAGTGATACCTAGAAAAGCCAAGTTGTGCTTTGCTGGTGCAGTGCTGTGCATCATAACAATTTCATTCATATCCCCTTTTAAAATGAATGATCTGTGAAGACAGAATATTTTACTTTAGGTAGTACATCTTGTACAACATGGAGGTTTGCAAAAGTAAAAGCCTAGGAGTTGTACTTAGGAATCACTAGTGAACTGCAGATCTTTATATTAATTTTGAATGATGTCCTAAGAATGTCAGAAGTACCACTTTTTTATCTCACCTGATGAGAACTGGCTTATGTTTCCTGGTGGGGGGGGGGTGTAATAAAAAAGACACGATACTTTCTAATACTCAGAGGAGTTTCTGTATTTCACTACTGAGTTAAAGGCTTTTTTTTTTTAATTACAGAAATACCTGTCAAGATCAAGTAACAGAAAAATGTAGTATGTAAAAATAATAATTTAAAAATTAAAGCAATAGTTGTGAATCTGTGAGAAAAGTATAAGCATAAGCTGGAAAAAATACCACACACAATAATTCAGTATTAAAATAGATATATTCCTTTTTATTGTGCCCTTAAAATACAAAATTCCTTTAAGATGTTAGATTACTAAAATAATGAATTTTCTATTTTCTTGCTCAGGAGTACCTTAGTTGATCTAGGAACTTGAACAATGGATATTAACTGTTAAAGTGGAACCTAGCCATTGTTCATCTATATACAAATTGTGAGTTTGCAAAATTAAGAGCACTTCACAATCTCTTGAATGACCATTCAATAATGACAAAATAAAAGATCATGTAAAATTCTACAAGAAAAATTCACAGACCAGTAACTATTCATAAAAATAGCAATGCCAAAAATAGTGACGTGCAGCTGGCTTAAAAGCATAAAGAACAACTCTTACATGGTTTTATATTATTACATTAGGACATATTGACAGATATGAAAATCTAATTTGCAAACAGGTACACATATAGTAGATGGTTTCCTAAATAATGGAACATTTTAAAAAGTTTACAATAGCATCTAGCAGTACTAAGTGCCAGCATGAAAATGGAGAACATTCAATCTGTAAATTAAAATAAGAAGAATAATTAAAAAACTATGTTTTAGCATTCACATGATAAATTAACTTTCTTCTTGGGTGCTATAAAGGGCCAGACTGACTTAATAAACCTATTTTTTTAATGAGAAAAAAGGTGCTTATATATATATTTTTAATAGCAGAAGATAGTATTGATACAGCTATAGACACCAACAACTCACAGTCAGTGAGTAGTTGGTAGTGACCAGCCGAGTCACATCTCAGACTGATGGGTGAGTGCACCAATTCCTCAGGGAACAGCAGAGGAATTCAGGGGTACCCATGTGCTCCTCCTGCCTGATCCTGCACTGCCAGGTCTGTGCATGCCCCCAGAAGGCACGGCTGGGCTGGCAGGGCAGATCTCTCTGCTGAAGTGGAGAGGTGGGAGAGGGAAGCCCAGGTCTGCCTCCTCCCACCCTGCCCTGCAGCCCCACTGAACGCTGGCAAAGGGAGCTGCTCTTTCTGCCTAGATGACTGTGCCTCTTTGTGCTCCAGTGACCCACACTCAGAGCTGCACAATCCTGGGTCCTGCAGCACAGGAGGTCATCAAAAAGGGTCTTGTACCCTATGCAATGAAACATGCTCTTCTTGGCACAGCACCCTGCAGCTAGCTTGGCTCCAGCTGGGACTTTTGGGGATGCTACTCCCTGTTGCGCTGTCTCAGCTTATTGACCAGGAATGCCAACACCATGGGCCTTTCAGTCCTGCTCCATGGAGACTGAGTCACTCCTGGTCAGACCAGCTGCTGCCCCTCAGTATGTCCCCTCCTCAGTGGCTGAATACATGGACCAGAAGGGCTTAACCTCCCTGTCCAGCTCCAGCTCTCACGGCTTTACATGGGGTGAGGCTTTCTTCCTCAGCAGCTGAGGTGTGCCAAGGTAGTGATGCACTGCTTACCAGCCAAACCAATCTACCAGGAGCCTGCGTTACCAGGGACACAATTCCGGGCCAGGCTGGGCAGACCCTGCCTTGCATTTGATTATTTTGGTTCTTGAGCAAAAAGAGCAAGCATTTTTAACCCAGCAGAATGCTGGTCTCTTGTGTGGTGCTCTCTAACTCTGATGCAAGGTCTCCAAGCACCTTCATAGAGGTTTCATCCAACTCCTAGAAAAGACTCTGACCCTTTTCTCTCTCTTTTTTTTTTTAATGGAGCATACCATACAGATTTAATTTGCTACTATAGCATATAGCATATATTATGGAGATAATCTAGTTCTTCTTTTAATTTCAGAATAGATACCATACAAATTGATCAGCAATTAATCTGAAACTACTAATTATTTGCATGTACTTTTGGCACAGTCCTATTATGCCCTATCAAATTATGCAGCAGCCAGTGATACTCTAATTCAAAATCCTAAAAATAGAATACAATTATAAAGAGGCTTCTGTTTAAAACAAATACCCACTGTTTTTTTTTGCAGTTGCTTCAGGTTTGTTTTAAAGTTGGATGCCAAAGAAGGATTCATCATAATTATAGCATGAGACATTTTACAGCTTACATATAAGCAATAATGGAATACAATCAACAGTGTAATGATATCAACATTCCCTCTCTCAATAAACCAGGCTCTAATGTCCAAAGTGGATTGTGAGCTACAGCTGAGTACAGAATAGCTTCTACAGAGCAGCCACAGGAGTAAGTAACCTGAGTACAAGAATGTCTCCATAAAAACCAATTTTACTTTGTGGCACAAAACAATAATCAGATTTTGCTGTTGATTAAATGTGGAAGTAAAGTTAAAGCATTTAATCAACTGCAAAGTCCGTTCAATGTAAGTGTACTCCTAATTTGTAGACATTATTGATACTATATATGAAGAGAAAATGTTTATACGATATATCTCAAAAAAACACTATTTCATTCATGGAGGACTTGGAATGTGGCTATACCAACCTCTGAAAGTCTTTCTACTGATGATGACACTTATTTAGGGTATGTGCTTTACACAAATAACTGAACAGGCTTCTACAAAAACAACAATAAGTAATTCTTAGTATGTAGGTAGTAGTTTTCATCCATAGGCCATCAAGTGCCATATAGATTAGTAGAATTTCTGATTTTGAAAGACTTACTCTGCCACATCCCAAAGAGAGTTGTTTTTTTAGGAAGACAAGGCAAGGCCCACAGATGTGGCTATTCTGCCATTACAATTATCATCTTGGCAAACTGAGACTGGACAGCCACGGGAATCCTCACCAATCTCTGAAGTGATGGCTGGGAAGAGAGACAGGGTCTAAACTCTCAGATTTTGTGCACTAGGAAATTAATTTTCCAAACAAGAGCTGGGCACCCAGTGAAGCAGGTTGGGCAGCCAGGATAAACTTCTGTGGCTGCCCAGGGTTTTCACTTGCTCAAATTTTGGCCCCAGGGAAGAGCCTGTTTTCCAATTTGCAGATGGACAAGTCTGTTTCCAAACACAGGTCACACTACTCTGCCTAACAACTTAGGCAAGGTAAAACAATGTTAAAAAGCATTTTTAGATACCAGACTTGCCCTTGAAACTGTCTTCCTCTTTTGTCTTTTTGGAGAAATGAACAAACTTAAGAAACGGTCAAAACAAATGCATGAACATGTTACTAAGAAACAGTGAGAGAAAGAGAAGCTAATTTTCGAAGTGATAATTTCAAATGGGCTTCTATATTTTCTCCCTGAAGAACATGCTTTTTTGGGGGGGCTCAAGAGCCAAAATAGATAATTTAGGCTTGATCGAGAGCCTATTAAAATCAACAGAACTTCTCTTCTGATGTTAAAATGATTGCAGGAAAGAAATCACATGTTTTAAATTTTTAACTGCACCAAAAAAAAAAAAAAAAAAAGGAAAAGGAGCAAGAAAGCAAAGCATTCACCATCAGTACATAAACCTGAAGTTAGAAAAGTGTTGTCAGTAAGACATTCTTGCAAATCATCCTCCACCACCCCACACAACTTCCATCACATCTCCCAAATAAAGGGCTCAAGGCCATGAAAGAAATAAAGTGACTATAAAGTTAGGATAATAATCACAAGAAGCTCCCCCTTTCTTGTTGTTATGCTTCTATGAGCAGATGTTGATATTCATGTAAGTGGCCTGGATTCATGCTCCCTGTAAATCCTGCTCATCTCACAACCAAGAGTATGGGGATGCACCTTGTAGAGATGCTGGTCTATTTACTTGGCCAGCCTCTGGTCACATCATCTCACTTCTCACAACTTAAGCAGGACAAATTGAGGCTGCATGTCCCTGCATCTGGTCTTTACCTCCAGCCCAACAGCTTTTCTCCTTAGAAACAAAGAGGAAGGAGGTAAAAGCAAAGAGGGAAAAGCAAACGTGTCCAAAAATATAAAGCTGAGTGATGAAACAGAGCAAACATGGAGATTAGTGGAAGGCATATAGGCAGCTGCTCAATTTCTTTAGGACCTTAGTTTGTAACGAAAGGCAATATCAACGTCTGGCAGGAGGATACCAAGGCCCATGCGACTGTTATCAAGTCTGACAGCTTTGTTTTCTGCTAGTTCTACATCAAAATGAGACAATAGTATGAAAAGAAACATCTTCATCTCATTCATTGCGAGGAACCTCCCTGGACACATGCTGATCCCAGAGCCAAAGGGCATTAGGAAATACTTCAGTTTTCTTCCTGCCTTGTAGAATGTGGTTTTCTTCTTGCCATTCTCTATGTATCGATCGAACTTATACTCCTGAAAATGAAAGAGAAAGAGAGAGACAGCGTGATATCTAACAAGGCAGTTACATGAGCTGCTTTCTTTGCACAATGGTAACGCGTCTGAAACCCAGAAAATAAGATAAAGAGGAAGACAAGGAGCTGACAGCTTCTTCTTTTTAGTTGGTTCCCTCAAGTTTCATTAACTCACATTACCTTCCCTGCAAAGAGCACTCTTTAAATCCACTTATTTAGCTTAGTCCTTTTACATCAAGCTCCTTCAACTTCCTCATCTCATCCACTGAGTGTCTGGCCTATATTGATTGCAATTAGATTTTGACCGCTTTGTAGCAGGGACAATGAACCTTAGTGGAAGGACAATTTTCTTGCAAAGTATCATACACACTCAGTGTGGTACATACATCATGAATAAGGATAATCTGCAAAATTCTGCAAATGCCTATGAATAAATTAATGCATTGCACCAATTTTGCTCTTGCAAGCCAGAGCAAAATCCATCCTTCTTTTGCACCGAATGGAGCAGATTATTTGAAAACTCCAGCACTTTGCAGTCAGTTTTCCTTTCAGTTGGAGATGGTTGCTGCTTAATTTTTCACATTTTACCTTTAAATATTTTGCTGCAGAAGCTTTGAGCAAGGCAGGACAATGCCAGTGACCGACCATTACAAAGAGGGTGTTTTCAAGTAAGGCTTGAGGTCACACTTGTAACCTACATTCCATAAATTGAACATATTTCTGACTATTTTTGAGTAGCAGGATCCCTGTTTAGAGATAATTTGTGTTTTTGAATGAAGGAGATCTGGCATCCTCACTCAGTCAATGGCAAATTAACCACTTACAAAACCCTCCTGCATGCTTTGAATAAAAATGACAGGCACTTCTTGCTTATGGTCACTCATTAGCATTTGTCCTGCTTTGCATACATCTGCTATAGCAGCAGCCATTTGGAGCTGGCTGGGAACAAGTCAGTCAGACAGAAACCGACCTCAACTGATTAAAAAACCCCACAGCACCATTAAAAATACACTGATACTGATCTACCCATTAGATTAAAGGCTCTGAAAATCATGCACTCCAGGTCTTGCTGTTGAGAAACAAATGTCAGGGGAGGTGGTGAGTGAGAAAGGGAATGAATACTAGGCGCACTGGAGGGGATGTAACTTTGGGTGCTGAAGAGCAAGAGCTTATTTCACTAAATGACAGAGGCCTGGATTTTCCACAAATATAAAGGTGATTCTATGTCTGCTTCCACTGACAGGTAATTCTTTTCAGTCTCTTTGAACATCCCAGCCAAAAGGAAGCAAACCTTTTTTTTTTTTTTTTTTTTTTTTTTTTTCTGCCAGGAAGTTATTGCTTCATTTGGAGCAGCACAGCAACAAAAATGAAAGCCCAGCATATCATAAGATTTACTTCCTGAATTCTAAATCCTGCTAGTCTAAAAAAGCACTGCTAAATATGAACTGCAATAGCTTAAAAACCCAACCCAGAGCTCTTCTCAAATGTTTTTACAAGGTGCACTTCTGGTATCTGGAGGAATTAAGCACTGTGTTATTGAACACACAGACACACTGGGTCAAACCTTATGTTTTCTTTGTCATATTAAGAGCTTTCTGGGACTTGCAATTGCTTTTAACAAAAAAGAAATTGCTGTCTAAGGAACAGGGGAAACAGAAAACAAGTGTGAGACAGGAATGCAGCAAATGACAGTGACATCAAACTCAGGGCTGCTGAAGTCCCTTGGGTTGAGTAGTGTTTCCTTAAAAGCTGATTCACTGACTAATAAAGACCAATTTTAAAAAATGAAGGAATTTTCAGCCATGCACAAGGTCTCCTGAAAGAGACATGGTGGCTGACAGCAAGGAAAAGGTCAGGACACTGAGCAAAAGCAGGCAATGAAGTTCTGTGTGGATGAGCTGCTACAAATATTATGAAAACTGAGCAATCTCCTGTGATTGATCTAAGTCTCCTTCTGTCACATACTGTATTTAGCTTTGTTTGGGAAGTCACCATAGAGGGTTTCCTGCAGGGTTTCCTGATTCTTACTCTATGGGTTTTGTAGAGTTCATTTACTGAGTTCTATAACTAGCTGAGATAGAATTTAGGGTTTCACTTATACACTTTATAGAAAACTGACTAATTTATTTAGGCCTTAATGGGTGGAGAAAGAGGTCAGAAATATATGCTTACACACTTACACAATATGGTGCCAAAGCACAAGATAGCTTGAACTTAAATTTATGTATCCAGGAGAAAAAGCATTGCTACAAAATTATCTCATCAAGCTGCCTGTTTTCCCAGGAAAAGTTTTCCCTAAATACATGACAAGCTCAAGACTGCACCTTTCAAAAAATTCATTCTCCATCTCTATCTGATCCTCAGTAGTTATTGTTGAAAGCACACTGCATATTTTAAGAACCAAACAGAACAGTGATTTCCCCACTTTTCGAGAGGGGCCCATGTGCTGAAATCAATGTACTGCAATGTGTGGATTGCTCATTCACTATCAAAAAGATAAAATATATGAACTAAAGCTGTACTGTGAAAGCTGAGCAGAGCTGATACTAAGCAGATATATTCAAGCAATGGAAATATGGTAATATATTCTGGCAATTATTGGATAAGGGAGGAGATCAGTTTCACACTGATGCTTTTGGTCTAGGACCTAAACAAACAGATGGACTTTTGACAAATCAATAACGTTCTCCAAAATAAAGTGTTAAGGATAAAATAAAAAAAAAAGAAGCTTATTTGTTAGCTGTTATCTATCCTTTTTAAGGATAAAAATATTAATCAACTATTTGCCAATAGATGAATTATTTTTAAAACCCTGATTTTCTCTGCAGGCTTTATCTTCATTTTTGGGTGGGGACAGCCAGCAGAGCTCCCCTGAATGTAATTTTCATTCTCGTGGCTCCAGTGTCCATCCCAGTGACTATACCTTACTCCTGCTGACTCCAACATGCTCCACACCTCCTCTCACTGAGGCTGGCAGAGCTCCTACACAACGAAATGCTGTCCTGCACCAACGAGGCACTTGAATCTCATCTTTTCTTTGCAAGCTCTCATCTTTAAATTCCTGAAAGGGAGAGCTTCGTGGAGCAACGTCTCTAACACGGGCTTTCTATAAACATGTAAAAAATCCAGTTCCTTTCTTCTTTGGCTCAAATGCCAAGGATGGAAATCAGCACGGCTGGGAGACAGCCATTTGCTTAGGCAAACAGGGGTGAGGAATGGATGAGGTACAAGCTCTTGCCTCTCAGGCAGACGAGCCATTTAACAGCCTCAGCTTGCACCCTTGCTCTTTCTTGCTCTTCCTCTGTGGCACCCTGGGCTGGGGACGGCAATCTGGGGAGCAACCTAGCCCAGAGGAGGACTATTCAATTTGCATGCAGGTGGTGAACTTCTGAAGCTGCATTACAGCTGAGGCAGGGTGGATTAATTTTGAGTCTTTGATATTCATTAACTTGAGCGTCAGAGAAAAATACAAGGAGATGACACAATTACCCTCCGAGCTTCGCTGCAGAGCAACAGCTTTACAGTCTCAAGTTCACAACACTCTAATTGATCAAGAAGGGGTGAATCCCTACGAAGGGAGGTGAAAAAGCATAAGGCTCAAGTAAGACACTGCTATTATAGGGCTTCAGAGAGTCAATGATGCTTTGCGGGCACTTAGCTAAATGGCCCACATTATTTGCTATTTAAACCACCTTCTATTATTCAGCCCTCCTTGGGTATCAAATGATCCACTGCCAAACAAAGCCCACATTTAGCCTAAAGTTTATGGTAGTCAATGTGCAATTGTCAATTCCTTTGAAAGCAGTCGCAGTCAGTCTCATCACCATATTTCTCTCTTCAGGCCATGAATCCTTTGACCTGCAGGGCCCTAGAAAATACATCTGAAACTAGGAAGATTTGTTCCACAAGAAGGAACAGCAGTAAAAAAAACCAAAACAAAACAAAACAAAAAACCAACCGCAGATCACAAAAGGTTTGGCTGCTGCGATGTGCCTGGAATAGGAAGAGTAGCATCAGCTGAATGTTTACCTTAGGATCTTCATAGACCTCAGGGTCCATGTGCAAAATCTGCGGGTAAAGGGCTATCCAGTCTCCTTTCCTCAAAACGACTTCTTGATTCCCTTCAAGCTTGAG